AGTACCCCAACTTTCAACTTTAGATTTGTATTCGTCCTAATTAAGAAGTCCAGTTTATACCTTAATGAGTGATTGTGATATCTAGGTAACTTTTATTGTTTGTTTAATTTTCAAGTAAAGACAGACATTTTTTTAAATAAATAATTCCTTTCGTTAAAATTTAAAAATAGTAATATTTAATATTGTAAATTAAAGGTTTTCAGACAGCTCGCGTTATTATTTTTGATTTTTATTTGTTTGTTTACAAAAAAAAGGGTTAACCTCTGTGCGGTAACATTTGTAAGTTTTTGTAGTATCTTCAACTCCTAGAGTTTGCAAATGAATGACATGTAAGTTTTTTGTATTTTTGTATATTGCGACTATTGAGGTAATATTTTTGTATTGTCTTTTTTGAGTATTCTTGTATTCACTATGTTTTGTAACTGTTTGTGGTAAGACACAATAAATGTTAAATTTTGTTTTCTTAACATTTTGTTTATTTTTTTAACTAACCCCTTTTTTTGAGTTTAGTTTGAAAAAGATATGTTTTTTATGTTTAATAATTATTTCCCTAGTTACAACTAGTGGTTGTAATAGGTATAACTAGGCACCTCAAAGTGGCGCCCTATATTAAATTACTAGAGGTGTTTCCTGTTTCTTTTTGCTTTGTTTATCCCAAGAGATTCATAACCTTTTGTTTCATATTTTTAAAATTGCCCCAATCCACCCCTTTATCTTTTACTTATCCACGACCCCAGCTCTCCTAACAAACCCTGAGTGCCGTTCGCACAAGTAGCATTTATTTTGCTTGCCCTATCTTTACCCCCATAATCTTACCCTGAGGTAGGCGGAATATTTTCGTTACAGTATTAGTCCGAACTTTCTTCAGATTCGTAAATGTTTTTTTATTGTTGGTTATGGAAAATAAGTAGTTTTGTGGTACTTATTTGTGCGGTAGGTACGTGAAGTTACAGTTGTAAGTTACGAGGTTGAAAAGTGTAACGAGAGTGAGCAGACGTATTTGGTTAGTCGGAGAAGAACCGGCAAATTTGTCGAAAAAAAAAGTGATTAAACTCAAAGTAATGTGTCTGTTAAATTAAGAGTAATTACTGTTTTTTGTTGTATACCGTATCTGATTTGAGATATTTGTAAAACGGCGTGTACAACAAATTTGAAATATAACCAGGAGGGTTCCAGTTTTTTAAGAAACCAAGTCGTTTAGTATCACTTTAACCTTACTTTTGTTTGTCCCTGGTCATCATTCCAGACCATAGATGCAGTTATTTTGTTCGTGTATCAGAGATTCTTGGTTCAGTTCCTACTCCCAGAAATTTTAGTAAGTTCAGATTACAACGCAAGTGTATTTTAGTAAAATCCAGGTAACTTTTTTTTGTTTGAACTTTAAAGTAAAGATAGACATTTCTTTTCTAATAATAATAATTGCTTCCATAATTTAAAAAGAAAATTGTAATAATTCAAATTATGTCTTACAGCATGGCTTAGCTGTCATTTTAATTGTTCTGTTTTAAAAATTTTATGTTGACATATGACACCTAGCTTTATTATTTTTTAACATTAGTTTGTTTTGTTTTTAAAAGAAGGTTAACCTCTATGAATAATTTCACTAATAGATATCTTTTTATTCCTAATGATCTATTTCTGCCACGGTTTATAGCCCAGTAACAATTTTTTGTAAGTTGTATAGCATATCCCACTTGTAATCAGAGTTTGTAAACGGATAGGACATGTAAGTTTTTCTTTGTTATTTTGGTATAAATCTTTGTATCTATTAATATAGTATTTTTATGCCATATATATTTTGTAACTGTGTGTAGTGAGACAACAAGAAATGTTTAATTTATTTCTCTAAACCATTTTGTTTATTTCCTTTGTTAGAAAAGTCACCTAGCCTATCTTTTGTGTTTTTTTTTAGAAAAGAAGAGCCCCTTTCTTTCATCCAGCAAGAGGTTTCCTCGAAGTGGCGTATATTTTAAATAGCTAGAGGTCCTTTTTGTTGTTTTGCACTGTCCATTTGTCCAGGAGATTCATGTAAGTACCCCTTTGTTTAAATTTTTTAGTTGTTCCAATCCAATCCCATTGTTTCATTCATTTATCCACGACCCCAGCTCTTTTCCTCAGCAATTATTTACAACCCCTCATACTAATACCCTATGTGGTAGGCCAAATATTTCGTTACATTGCTGACGCAACATAATTTCTAAACCTTTTGTTTATGTTGATAAAATCAACAGGGTGCTTTCCATGTATAAAGCCTTCTTGGGTGCAATTTAAAAAGTGTATTCGTTACAACCATATCCGTCTCTTGGCAGAATTGGATCAGTCTTTCTTCTCTTTCGTTTCTTATGCCAAGACCATATGACCCCACGACATTCTCCACTGTAGTCCTATTTTGGCATTGAAATTGCCCATGATAATGGTAAGTTTATGTTTTTTGGTGAGTTTTGAGAGAGTCTTCTAGAGTCTTTTAGAAATTTTCTATTTCTTCTTCAGTGGATTCTGACGCCTTAAACCATAAAATACTATAATCGTTTAGTGTTAAATAGAACATGTTTTATTACTACCACTGGCAATATAAAAGACTGAACAGAAATCCTTAAGAGACATTATTGGTGTGTGGAATGAAGAATACTTACCTATCGGTACAGGTGAGCAGAACGTATTCCATTCCGTCGATTTGGCGAGTTAAACTAATTCGATGATTCCCCATCCTGTCTCGTCAATTATATGGGTTAAATGTGGGCAACGAGTTTTCTTGTTGCTGTATTCCGTGTCAAGGGATCTGATAACAGCGTTTTCTGAGGGCTAAGTGGTCTACATGGTATTGAGTGAAAAATAAGCAGCCGAGTTTTAAAGAATCAGATCCACCCATAGGATAACCTTAGGGCCAGTTTTGGTATTCGTCAGCCTCCATTTTCTATCTCTTATGAATCGAATCCAGATCGTTGAAGTTTTTGTGGGTATAGTAGTGGATAGTACTTTTTGTATCCAATTTCAAGGTAACAAACTTTTTAATAATGTAAAAGGAAATAATTTGCCAATGAAAAACGTAGTTTTGTTAAATTTTTCTAAATAAATATTTTTCGTTAATTTACTAAGAATTGCTTTTATAACAAATTAAAAATTTTATAAATAAATATATGTTTTATGTAATTAGTATTTAAATGAGAATAAGCCACAATTAAAGATAAATCGGAAATCGTTGTCAAAATACAAGTATTATTAAATTATCAAAATTTTGTTAAAAAAAAATGTTTAATTTACTAATGTTTGTATTTTGAGAACGATGTTTTAAGTAGAAATTGCAACGTCGATAAACTTACTTGTGGCTTATTCCCATTTAAATAATAATTACTTTAAAATGCCACAAGAAAATAGCTTCTAGCTATCTAGAAAATAGCTGAACAATATATGTTTTATGAATCAGCTAATTGTCATATTTTAGTTTTAATTTAAATAAAATTAGCTTTTGATAATAGTTTCTTAACTATCCTCGCAATAACCTTATGAGGTCTACAAAAGCCGAATTTGTACTTGTAAAACTTATACAAATTTAAATTAACTGAATTAAATAAAAAATATATTTGTTTTGTTTCGATGTCTTAAAAAAACGAATTCAAAACATGCCATTTATAATAAAGCAGTATTTTAGAGAATTGTTTTACTTAGGTAAATTAATTTTATCACAGTGAATTCGACTATCACCCAACTATCGAATATCACCCAACAAGTCTGTAGATTTAATATAGACCAACTTAAAGTTTCTGAAATCAAGTGTATGAAAGTTCGCCACCATTATTCTCCTGCTTGTCTTAAAGGGGTATTAAATGGATAATCAGTCATTTTATTGTCCGCTTACTTTTGTGAGGTAAGCACGATGAAACAAGCTATGGGCTGCTAAGAGAAGTAAGCGTCGTTGGGGACCAGAGTTAACACGCCCTGTCCCCACCTGCGGTCTTTTGGAAGCAGTCAATCCCAGCGGCTCTACCATAACCTTTTATTCCTAATTCCTTTATCTGGTTGTACTACCAAATCTGGCGGACATAGAAATAAAAGAGACTCTGTTCTTCCCTGCCACATCTTTGGTCTACAACTCTACTCTCATCGTCAACGCATGGTCAACTCGACTTAATAATATCTAGTAAGCTCACAGGTCTCTGAGGCAGAGATCACAACAGAAAACAAAAGTGCAGCCAAAATAAGAGGAGACTTGAAGTTCTCTGATTTAGTGCCCTCAAGGCTAGACAGAAAGGGGCCTGTAAAAATTACGTCCATTAAGGATGTGGAAGTGATGTCCTATGAAGAGCTCAGACGAACGAAAATATCAAACGCCACCAAACTGCAGATTAATGAAATTGTGAAAGAAGGCAAAAAGTAGAAGAGGCAAAGCAGGGAAGAAGCGTTAAAAAATGAGATTAATACTCATATACGCCTTAATGATGAATACCAAATTTTTATTTGTATGTCAAAAATACGCAACCACAACCTATTAAAATAAACCCACTAAATTTCACTTGCATATCTCAACTGGTTGTAGAACAATAAATAAATCGTTAGTTTGTAAGAAACATTTTTAGCAACTCGTATATCGGAAACGATTTATCGACCTAATTTATAAAGCAGATTCTCAATATTTTTTTCATGCAGATCACCCTCTGAAGTTTTTTTCGCCACTTTTTTTACTAACATCCTATATAAGTGGAACAACATTATCACTGTGCTTCTTTCGATATATCGCTATACAAGAAACCATATATTTTCTGTTTTATAGTGTCTTATTTTTTTTAACTATTTTTGTAATTAGTTTTTATAACATTTTGAATGTTAAAAGAAATAATTAAAATTGTTGATTTGAAATATCTGATTTATATTACATTAAAAAGATTTTATTAAAAACCTTAATACCTTTAATATTTATAATATTTATTTAGTTTAATATAGCTTATAATATATAAGGGCGTTTCAAATACCAATATAATATAAAGAAATTATTTTGGTCTTACCTGAAATCTATACAGGGAGCTATCATCTTTAACAACAAGGTTCTTGGAATCGCTTATGGGAAAGAAGTACCCGTATTGACATAACTGATTGGCAATATTGAGAGCCTCTGTAAAAAATAAATATCGTAAATAAAATTTATATAAAACAAATTGTATGTTATAAAATAAATTTAAGTAGCATAAATGTAATATCCCAACATAAACGGTTTTTGGGAAAGTATGTACTATTTCTTTTTATATTTTTACATTTAATATTTTTCTTTTAGTGTACTATAATATGATTTAATTCAATGCTGTATTATAACGAATTTATTAGAATATATTGCGTCCTGTTATTTCGTAAAATTATTAAACTGGCTATCTCATTTATTATTTTTTTAAGGACGGAGAATTTGGCTTTCTCTTTTGTATTCTGTGTCACAAATATAGAAACAAGTGTAAAGTTTCGTATTACAGTGACAATTAACTTAAATTATTGCCATTCAAAATCGTCCTACAATAGGGTTCATTTATGGGATGCTTTTGGACAATCCAACGGTTAGAGGGTTCTTTTCTGACCGTCTTAAGTCTCAAGATACACTTCATCACAAAACAGCGAACGAAATGCAAGTTTTATCGGTTCTCGTTCTATCGAGTCTCGTTGTTCCCGTCTTGGGCATCTCCACGTGGCACCAACGATATTCTATCAGCTAGAAGTACGACATTAATATTTGGTGACACAAAAGGTGAGTCTATATTCTTTATACAGAAAACAATAATGAATAATGCTAGTTAATTTCGTAATTTATTCACTGTTGTATTTGCTATTTTTCGATAACTTATTTGCAAACAAAATATTGCATTTTTTCTTAATTATTATTTATCTAGTATCATTTAACCAGCGACCTCTAAGTTTTATACAAAACAAACGGTATAATATACATTATATATTATTTGTTTCTGAAATTTGTAAGAGTTAGTATAAAGTTTTAGCTAAATTTCTATTTTAGATATGCTATTAAGTATAATATTTTTATTTAACGTAATGTAGAATACCGGTAATATAACTTAAAATGTTTACTGTACGTTGTAATAATTAAAGAAACCGTGAAGAAAATGTCCAGAATAGTTAATATATGGTATCAAAAGTTCGAGATGATACTAAAAAACTAAACAATTCAAAATCGTATATATACCAAAGAAACACACAGAACACAGAAAGCTACTATATTATTAAGGAAATAGAGGAGAATGTGTGGTAAGAATTGGGGACTTAGACCCAAAATGACCCTGTGGTAATACAAAGGTTAATAGATTAATTATAATCTATCGGTCTGTGACATGGTGGACAAAGACGCAGCAAGTAGAAGCAAAAAGGCTGCTAAGTAATATACAAAAGCTAGCATGCTAATCAACTAGCATTTCTTTTACACAGTTCGCCTGGAGAATTGATGCATCTTTGGATAAAGCGCGAAATGTATCCCTTGTTTCCGCTTCCGCTTCCGCGTTGTAGCTTCCGCTTGTATGGGTACATCTTTCTTCCAATATTTCCTGCCTAATATATTAATTTTAAATGTATTATTAGAGCTATATTTCGTAGCTGTTGCCTGAATGGATTCTAGGGATATCTACTTTTGGCTTCTCGATTAGCTTTCTATTGTCAGCACTTGGCTTATGTGTTGCTCACTATTTATTAATATACTGGAAGAAATGTTTTTGTGGCCCTCGTAGTACATAGGCATACTTCTTCTTCTTCTTCTATTAAAGGTTGCAAATCATCAGGCAAAGCTGAGGGCATTTAATTCTGTAGAGGTCAATTCTAAGCAATTAAGGGATTGTGTAGGTGCCCTAAATAAACTAGGAGACCGCATTATGGTTACGGTAGTCTGGGCTAGCCAATGCAAAAAAAGCATATAAAATTGTTAAACAAGGCTCAATAGGCAGTTACAGAAATGGCTACAAAAAAGTGGGAAGTACACAAATTTCTGGAATGATGGAGGACATTACCAGAATAATGATACGTGAAATAGTTCTTTATGAACCCAAGTTAACTGAAGAACTAATAAAAAAAAAAACAGAAAAATATTCAAAGCTATAGTAGGTCGGTTAAAAGGGAACTGTAAGCTAAATAGGCAGTTAAAGCTGATAGGATTAGTAGATTATGATATGTGCAGATTTTGTCGCCTAGAAGAAGAAACAGCAAAGCACATTTTGTGTCAGTGCGATAGCCTGGCAAATATGCGTTCTTACTTTAGTAGAAAAAAAGTCACAGACATAGAACTACATAAAAGGTTCAGTCTTAAAGCTATTAGACCTTTTAAAAACGTTTAGGCTAGATAATGATTTTTTTTATATTTTATATTAATAATGCATTTGTTTTCATTTTAATATCTTGTAATACTTAACAACAGTACAATAAATAGTTTGACAATAGTCGCAACCCAGCGGACGTGGCAATACGTGACTCTGGTCACTACTTGGCAATACTTGTATTCTTGGTGTTTGAAGTTATAATAAATAGTTTTCATTGCTCTTTTGTGATATTCTTATAGTTGTATACTATTTTTGGTGAATTTAGTAAATATTGCATGTCCGTTACACCAGTGGTACTAGAACATTATGGGAAAAGCCAAAGACATCTCACCAAGGAAAATACCGGAAATTAAAACTTTTTATTGAACACATCACATCAATTTTAAGTTTCAAGTCAAAAAAAAATTACAACACCATGAGAAAGAAAGAAAAATTCAAGATAATGTCTTGGCAAACAGAAAGAGTCTGGCATCAATATTTCACCAATGATAGCTTGTCGACAAATAAAGACTACAGGGAGATGATTTGGAGACCTGTCGCCCTGCAAAAATGTTCAAACCAGCCATGAGGAAAAAAGGCTTCAATGGGCTAAATAATGGATCATAGATGATTGAAATCAGATAAATAACATTAGTTATCAATGTTTTTCTTTTATGTAGTTTACAGTTAATCAATTTGTTTACGATTCTAAAATAATATTAGTATTCCAGGTTTGTTTTTCGGATGAATTTAACGTGCAGATTTTTATAGATAGAGCTAAATTGATGATCATGAAAATCATGAATGTCTTGCTTGTGTGAGTCCATTTCAAATAGGTAAATTTCCAAGTCCATTTTAATAATACAATGGTATATTACATCACTTTCATTTAACAAACAATCACACACATATCTCTTCTTCATTGGACCAAATCTATCTCCTCAAGAACTTCCGTTTACTCTCAAACAACTGCAATAACAGAATTGAGTTCTCCATTAAACAATACATAGTAGTTTCAACCATGTTCTACTATTCAGCAATTGATAGAGTATCGGCATGTAAGTAATGTTTATTTTATTTATTTGCTCATTTATTAATTTATTACAATCTAATAGACTATTTTATAAAAATTTGTGGGCCTTACGTTGTCTGTTTAAACTTTTAAAACTTTTATACCTTATTATTCAACTTACTCTTTTAAATAAAACCACAGACATGTAATATTGGCATAATTATTGTAATTTACAACATCTACTTTGTTTATCTTTATTAGACAACACCCTAATATGGGTTTTTATCATTTCAGCATTTGTTTAACTTTGTATCGAGACCTGAGGATGCCTTGCATATTGTAGAAAGCGAAACTGGTCGTCTGGTAGTTAAATTAAATTTATTAGAGCTAAATCTGTTAGGAAAAGACCTGGGGAAAAATACATAGCGGATACAATCCACTTTGTATTTTTAACGACGGTTAAGCACTCTCTGAGCATCATGGTGTGGTCAAGGGACTGGTAGACACAACATTGTCGATTTAGACCAATGCGACATGGCCAGTATTTAAGAATACTGCAAACAAAAATTCTTTCCTAGGTCTAGAGTCGAAGTTGTTCCCAAATATGGTTCGGCATGATTCGGCGCCTTGTCACAAGGCAAACTCTTTTAAAAAAATCCTGGCTGACCACGAGACAAAGTTGCTCGACTGGCCTGGCAATTCGTCAGATTTGAATCCAATAGAAAATCTGATTCAACCACAATTTTTTAAAGAAACTGTAACCACGAAGAGTCAATTGGTACAGAAGTGGAACAATTTAACAAAATTACCTGAAATGTATAGAAAGTATGCCAAGAAGGTGTCAAGCAGTTATTGCTACAAAAGGTAACACTACCAAGTACCTATTATAATAGGTACTTGGTAGTGCCCATCACGTCCAAATTTTTCACAAAATGAAAGAAAACCTTGTGAGATATTATGTGTAGTGCAAATAAATACCTTATTGATATTTCGTTAATTGCATTAAAATTATTTCTTTAAAATACTTTCGATAGATCGATGGAAAATATTTTAATAAATTATTATGTTAATTTAATTTAAATGGCAACACTGCCCATCACGTCAAAATTTTCACAAAATTGAAAAAACTTTGTGAGATATTATATACTAGCGCTAGCAAGTACCTTATTGGTGCTTGTAAAGTTTGGTGATCAGGACCAACCTTGGGTACCACACAAAGTGTGCTTTCAGTGTGTCGAACTACTGAGAAAATGAACAAAAGGTACACGTAATTTTTTACCCATCGCATTCCTATGGTTGGAGGAAACCAAAAACCCATAAAGACGACTGCTACTTGGGCCTATAGAAGGATGCTGCACAAATCTTAGGATCACGACTGAATGATAAAAATCTATTGGCTCCAGGTACCACATTTTCGTGGTAAAGGCATCGTAAAAAAGAGTTCGCGGAATATTTGTCTTAAGAGCGCTCACGGGTGTATTGTCATAATATTGTTCTAATAAAATAAAGTATAGCGAATATTGTTGGCAACTCTGTGAAGATCTCAAAATAATATACATGCTTTTGGGTCAGCAGTCTGGATTCACAAAGTATCCATGTTTTATGCGAGTGGGACACTAGAGCACAAAATTTACATTACGTTAAGAAAGAGTGTCCACTCAGAGAAAAACTTGTAGCGGGACAAAAAATGTGCAACGTGATACACTAATTGACCCAAAACTAGTTCTGTTGCCTCCTTTTCACATAAAGTTAGGATTAATAACTCAGTTTGTCAAAACTTTAGATAAATAGTGTGACTGTTTAAATATCTGTGCGACAAATTTA